CCACCCCAAGAAACTCGCAATGCCATCCAAGTCTGTTCAAGCACTTGTAGAATTCTCCAAGGAATCTGAGGCCTTTCTATTATCCCCAGAAATCTCATGTACCTGAGATCTGCCATGCCCCCAAGACTGTCAAGCACCCCTTAGGAATCTCCAGGAACCTGAGGCTTTCCAATTATCCCAGAAATCTCCATGGACCGAGAATTCCCCATTGCCGCACCCCAAGATCTGTCCTAAGCACCCTCTAGGATTCCCCAAGGAACGCAGGACGCGCTCTCCAAGCACCCTGCACTCTCCCAATACCCCTTAAAATGTGACGTTACCTCAAGGAGTCTTCAAGGAACCCTGGGGCTTCCAAGCACCCCAGAACTCTCGCATGCCCCCAGACGTCCAAAGCACCTCCAGGGTTTGTCCAGAACCTGGGGCTCTCCAAACACTCGGCACTCTGTGTGGCACCGACTAGCTAAGGTACGTCTAGGGATTCTGAAGAAACCCCAGGGGCTCGTTGAGCACCCCTAAAAGTTCAGCAACTTCTAGGATCTCCACAAACTACCAGAATTCTCAAACCCCCCAGCTCTCTCCGCACCCCAAGCTGTCCGAGCACCTCCAGGATTGTCCAAGGAACCTTGAGGGCTCTCCAATTATCCCAGAAATCTCCATGTAACCCCAGACTCCACATGCACCCCTAAGGACTGTCCAAGCACTTGAATTCTCATGGAGATTTCTGGGAATGATTGGAGAGCCCCAGGTTCCTTGGAGAATGCTAGAAGTGCTTGGCTATTCTGGGGGTGCTGGGAGGGTACTGGGGAGGTATGGAGAGCCCCAGGGTTTATTGGAGATTCCTAGAAGTGCTCGGACATTATGGGGGTGCTTGGAGAGCCGTGCAGTTGCTTGGAGAATTCTAGAGGTGCTTGGACAGTCTTGGGGTGCATGGAGAGTTCTCAGGGTACATGAAGATTTCTGGGGATAATTGGAGAGCCTCAGGTTCCTTGGAGAATCCTGGAGGGTACTTGGACAGTCTTGGGGTGCATGGAGAGTTCTTGGCGTACATGGAGATTTCTGGGGATAATCGGAGAGCCTTGGGTTCCTTGGAGGATTCTACAAGTGCTTGGACAGACTTGGGGTGCATTGAGAGTTCTTGGGGTGCATGGAGATTTCTGGGAATGATTGGAGAGCCCCAGGTTCCTTGGAGAATGCTAGAAGTGCTTGGCTATTCTGGGGGTGCTGGGAGGGTACTGGGGGGGTATGGAGAGCCCCAGGGTTTATTGGAGATTCCTAGAAGTGCTCGGACATTATGGGGGTGCTTGGAGAGCCGTGGAGTTCCTTGGAGAATTCTAGAGGTGCTTGGACAGTCTTGGGGTGCATGGAGAGTTCTCAGGGTACATGAAGATTTCTGGGGATAATTGGAGAACCTCAGGTTCCTTGGAGAATCTTGGAGGGTACGTGGACAGTCTTGGGGTGCATGGAGAGTTCTCAGCATACATGGAGATTTCTGGGGATAATCGGAGAGCCTTGGGTTCCTTGGAGGATTCTGCAAGTGCTTGGACAGTCTTGGGGTACATGGAGATCTCTGGGGATAATCGGAGAGCCTCAGGTTCCTTGAAGAATTCTACAGGTGCTTGGACAGCCTTGGGGTGCATGGAGAGTTCTGGGGGTGCTTGGAGAGCCCCAGGGTTCCCTGGAGAACCCTGGAGGTGCTTGGAGATTCCAGGGTGCTGCAAGAGTACTGGGGTGCTTGGCCCTGCAGCTCACTCACGGCCAGGGCTGGGGCCGGCTCATCCTCCCCATTTGGGGGGCGCTGCGCCCCAGAATCTATGTCACTGGGGTGTGCCAGCCATGTGGGCACCTGCGTCCCCCCCACCCCGAGCGTCCCCAGGAACTGGCTGGTCACCTAGCTGTCCGCCACCACGCACAGTGTCCCTGGACAGGCCGATGGCCGCAGGGCCGGACGCCAACCCGCGCCGTGCAGATGCCCACAGGCGGGCGCCGGGTGCAAAGAAGACCGCCCCCTCACCTGTCCCCCGTCCTCGCCAGGTTCTCCCTGTGGCGGAGGCTGCTCCCGCCCATCCCTCAGGTGAAAGCGGAACTGGCCGGCGCCTTCCTGCCAAGCCCCGAGGTGAGAAACCCCGCCGCCCTCCCAGCCTCCCGTCTCTCCGAATCTTGGGGTGTGAGCAGGTGAGGGGGCTGTCTCTCGGGGCTCCGTGTGCTGACCGGGGGCTCCTTCCTCCCCCAGCGGGGCCGACGCTTGCAGGAGGGCCGGGCAAGGGGAGGCTCTGTCCCCACGAGGGCTGGGGGGAGAGAGAGAGAGAGACACAAGCTGCCCTGGGGCACCTAAACTGGGGGCTTTAAACCACAGGAGCCCGGGAGTGTGCGACTCGGGGGTCTCGGGGCCGTGCTCCCTCCACGGGCTCCAGGGGAAGCCCCGTGCCGTCACGGAAGAGTTTAGGGTCCATCGGTCATCAGAGAAAACATCACCCGAGTCCGCTGACAGTTGTTTTAACCTGGAAAGTCAGCGTTGGGTTGAAGAGAGGAAGATACAGAGGGTCCGAGTGGACCCCTTCCAGAGGAGGCCTCCCACCCAAAGCCCTGGCTCTGCCCTGCACAGGGGGCCTCCAGGTCCCTTCCGGGGTTCCCCTTCTCAAATGTGGGGGCCAGGAAATGCCGCTTCTCGGGGGGGCCAGGAGCGGTGGGCATGAGTGAAGCTCCGGTGAGACCCCCAGCCCTGTAACTGCACAACCCCACCCCCCTGCAGCCCCCGTTCTCCTCCTCAGCCCGGCCAGATCACCCCCGCTTAATCTCGGGGTGGCCTCCCCGAGTGCTGCCCCGCTCCCCACGGCCAGCCCTGAGGGTTCCAGGAACCTTCCGGCGTCTCCTCTCCGATCCCCTCTGACCCAATTGCTCGGAGAGACCCTGGTGCCCTGGGTCCCGGGACTGTTCTTGGGGGTCCCCGTGGGGGGCAGGTTCCTGGGGGCCCCAGTGGGAGCATTAAACTCTGGGTGTGCTCAATTGGGGGACGTCTGTCCGTCTGTCCCCGAGAGAGGGCTCCTGCTGTGTGTCCCTCCCGGCCGGCAGGCCCCTCAGAGACAAATGCGTCCCCGATCTACTGATACCTTAAATAGCTTTATGGAGACACACTTCTTCGCCCATTTAAATCATGCAATTCCGGGGCATTTAGCATATTCACAGTGTTTTACAGTGATGACCTTTGTCTAGTTTCAGGACATTTTTATTTATTTCCCCTGAAGAAGACCCCGTACCCACCAAGCTGTCGCTCCCTGTTCTCTGTCCCCAGTAATCGCCTTTCTGCCTCTCTAGATGTGCCTGCTGTAGATAGTTCATGCACCAGAATCATACCATGCATGGTATTTTGTGTCTGGCGTCTGTCACGGAGCATGAGGTTCTCAGCTTCCCTCCTCTTTGTAGCAGGTGTCCTTTTCACGGCTGCGTAATATCCCACCATGTGGACAGACCACGTTTGGTTCATCCGCTCATCTGCCGGTGGGCGCTCGGGTTGTTCCCACGGTTTGGCTTATTGTGAATCGCGTTGGTCTTCGTGGATGTTCCCTTACTAGGAGAACCAGGCAGTCGGCAGCGAACTGTCTCAGTGGTGCCGTTTCTTCTCTCTCAGGTCACCTGGGAAGGGACCCACCTGCCGCCAGACTCGCAGGAACCCGAGGACATCCTCACGGTGGAGGAGACGATGCCGTAATTTTCGAGTGGACGAGCAGAGATTCAGGCTTCGGCACCACGCTCCACGTCTGCAGACTGTCCTTTCTGTGTGTCGTTACCTTGAGCGAGTGTCACAAATTGTGCTGTCAGTGAATAATCCCTAACTACATGAGCAACATCAAAACTCCACGTGCAACATCAAAACTCCCTGAGCAACATCAAAACTCCCTGAGCAACATCAAAACTCCCTGAGCAACAGCAAAACTCCACGTGCAACATCAAAACTCCACGTGCAACATCAAAACTCCACGTGCAACATCAAAACTCCACGAGCAACATCAAAACTCCACGTGCAACATCAAAACTCCAGGTGCAACATCAAAACTCCACGTGCAACATCAAAACTCCAGGTGCAACATCAAAACTCCACGAGCAACATCAAAACTCCACGAGCAACATCAAAACTCCAGGTGCAACATCAGAACTCCACGAGCAACATCAGAACTCCAACAGCGACATCAGAACTCCAACAGCAACATCAAAACTCCACGTGCAACATCAAAACTCCACGAGCAACAACCAGACTCCACGCACAACATCAAAACTCCACGTGCAACATCAAAACTCCACGAGCAACATCAAAACTCCACGAGCAACATCAAAACTCCACGAGCAACATGAAAACTCCAAGAGCAGCATCAAAACAACATCAAAACTCCACGTGCAAGATCCAAACTCCACGTGCAACATCAAAACTCCAAGAGCAACATCAAAACTCCACATGCAAGATCCAAACTCCACGTGCAGCATCAAAAATCCAAGAGCAACATCAAAACTCCACGTGCAAGATCCAAACTCCACGTGCAGCAAGAGAAGCTGCCACCGAAGGTGAGCACACACACAGCGGTGGAAGAGATGTCAGGAGATCAAGCCAGATGCCGGCCTCCAGGTGCAGAGTCTCGTCAGGCAAAAGCCCCCGGGGAATAGCCAGAGACGCGCATTGAAACACCAGCGTGTCTCCCGCTTCCATTCTGGGTCTCTGGTCGCCATTGGCCCAAGTCGCTGGCCGGGGGGCGTCCCCGTGGTCAGACGGTCTGAAACACCGGGCGAGATTGTATCTGCACGTTAGCAGTTTGCAAACCTGTCCCAGAACCTTGCCTTGTTTTTTGTGTTTTTTTTTTTAACATGGAAAGGATCAGAAATGAGGGGCAGCGTCTTCCCGCCGACCCACCCCCAAGAGCAGCGATCTGCGAAGAACTGGCAGGAAGGAAACTGCTAGAGCATCCCAACGCGGTGTCTTGCAGCCACGCAAAACCCACGCAGCTAAGTCTTGAGGCCGTCGGGCACCGGGCTGGCCTACTCGCAGTTGTCCTTTGTGCCCGCGTGTGTGCTAGGAATTCCAGCAGGGTGCTCTCGGGAGCAGCGGCTCGTGGCCTGGAGGGCCAGGTGTTTCCTGGTGGCTGGGCGTGTGCATTGTGTCATTTTTACGTGGTTGCATGACTTTGTCCGCAAGGAGGGTCCGTCTGAGCAATGCGGACATGGCCTGTGGGCAGACGCTTTGCTGGGAAGGTGGCTGCCCAGCTCGAGGGGAGTCACACCGCGCGGGTAGCTATTCGACCGATCGGATACTGGACCAGTCATGAAAAAGAAACAAAGCAGGTAGAAAGCAGAGGGGAACACGTAAAAGCAGGTGACTCCGTGGTGCATTACCAGCCGGTGAAATATCTCAACGCCTTACTGGATTCTTGATGCTGTCGAGAATAAGCCGTTGGCACTCGCGCCTGGGGGTCGACCCAGTGCACCAGATGATGCGATGGGCGGCAAAGGTGCGGGGACGCGTGTGTTCGCTGGGGCGTTGTGTGCAATGCATTAAAAAAAAAAGGAAAAGCACCTACGTGTTTGTTCACAGCAGACAAGTTTTAAAATTGGGGCATCTGAGACAGATTTTGAAATGTCCTGTTTGTTCACGAGGGAAGATAGTCACGGTATTTTATAGTAAAGTGGAACAGGCACAGCAGCACATGTGGGCTAAGATTCCTTGCAAGAGAAAATTGTGCATGTGTGTGTGATGCATGTGTGTGTGCATGAATGCATGTGTGTGCATGTGCACACATCTGCACATTATACACATGTGTGCGTGTGTGTATGTGTGTGGTTGTGTACCTGTGTGTTGTGTGCATGTGTGTGTGTGTGCATGTGTGAGTCTGTGTGTGCAACTGTGTGTGTTGTGCATGGGCACCTACCTATGTGTGTGTTGTGTGCATGTGTATGTGTGTGCATGTGTGAGTCTGTGTGTGCAACTGTGTGTGCAACTGTGTGTG